TAGGGAAAAGTGTAAGAATAGGGCAAGAATATACTGATACTTCTGAGTTACTCTCCCAGACCCTTAATACCTTAGCATATTTCTTCTCCCATGAATGCCCCTGAACAAGAAAGTTTTATACCTACATCATCTTGCAGCAATGTGTCTCAAGGGTCAATTACTCACTGCAAAAAAAGAATAATTGTTTTGTTTTCAACTTGCCAATTGCTAGATCTATTTGATACCACCTAATTCTTACGGAAAAAGAGAAAACAAACCTCAACCCCCTACTTGTATTTTCCATGCTTCCATCTGGTCACCTCTTTTCAGGCAGAAGAATCCTACCCTGTGCCATGTGGCTTGCACAGAAATACTTCCATATCTTTATCTTTAATCATTCTTGTCACACATCTCTTAGAAGTTTCTGAAGACTACTACATTCTTCTTTGAGCCTGGGAAATCTCAGATGCTTCTCCTGAGTCTTAACAACTACTTCACCGGTACCTATGCACTGTCCACAGCCTAGTTTCACATAAAACATTCCCTGTAGAAGCGAGTATGGCCTGAGAGATTCCTTTCTACATTCAGTCTTACTCTTGTTTGTTGCTACAACACACTGCCCCTTCAGCTATACCCCTGCAGCTGTTTCTGGACTGTGCTATAAATATTGCCAGTGAATCCATCTGGACTAAAACAAGGAGGAGTGGAGGGCAAAGACTTGGAGGACTGTCTTTCAATTCTGTTTCTGCCTCTTTTAAACAATTATTTAATTGATTTTTGCAGCACTACCTCGAAACCACAGCATCAGTACAGCTCATCTCTTTGGTATTTTTTGTCTCTTCATACATAAAACAATTTTGAGGCACATGCTACGTCCTTGGGCAGTAAGGGCCCACTCTGTCCTATCTAGTATACTACTTGTATTTTCAACCCAGAACCATAACATAATCCACAGAAAAACAAAGACAAGCAGCTGTCTCAAGACTCACAGACCAGACTTGAGGGAACGCAGAGTCTTTAGTGGCAGCAGGAGATAAGGCAAGCAGCAAAGGTTCTGAGCCAGGACAGCAGGCAAAGACTGCCTCCTGTGTCACCTGGACCTAACTGAGGACTGACAAAGCTTCAACTAAAATTTTGAATGTTTGGGTAGGATTCATCTTACCTAACTCTACACGCACAGCCCACATTGCCACACAAGCTAGTGTGCCTTTTCACTCAATATAGTGTATATGCGTGCGCACACATGCATACCCATTTATAGTCAATATTCAGCAGAGTTGTCAGCATAATTCATCTGTCCAGAGCAGGTATACATGGCGAGATGACACAGCTCCTGCTTAAAAATGCCCGTGATTACACCAAGTAGATTTCCATTGACTGGCTGAGGAGCTTAGGGTGACAAGTGACATACAGGCACCTGCGATGTCCGCATCAGTACAGTCACTCAAATTGTATTCACTAATCCCTAAAAATGAGAGGGGTATTTTCAGTGTATCAAAATACCACCCACAGATCTACATCATTCAACCCCTCATGCACATTTGGCATGCTTGTTGGTAAATTTTTTTTAGAGATTACAGTTTAAGGAAACAGGAGATAAAGAAGCCAGACTACATATGCTACAACAGTTGGAACTTAATCAAACTGTTGACTTTTGATGTAACAGAAAAGAGCTATAAAAACTGAAAACATTAAGATGCAAAAATAAAAATTATACACATCACACCTAAAATAGAGACAAATACCAAGTGAACCAAGAAAAACCAGCAGCAATCCAAGTACCAGGAAAAAGGTCGAATACAAGTGAAAAAGAAATCAAACAACAGGCAATAGTGTAGCAAATGGTGCAACAAGCAATCGTTGCCAGAAGAGGAATTATTTTGCATAAATATGCATGGAAAGAAAGACTTCTTCTGTCTATTAAAAACAAGGATTTCTAACCAACGGTCCACAGGTTACAGCAAACCCTCCAGGATGATTTTATCTTGTTAGCAGCCTCCAACCAGTCACCCTGTTTTCAAGAGCAAAGAGCAAACTCAGGGCAACAACCCACATTTGGTTACTGTCTTGCCCAGAGATATCCTGCCCTGGCCCCCTCCCTGTCATCTGTTCCAAACATAGAATTGATACTGCAGTGAAGGCACATGAGGTGACAGGAGGAGGGAAGGACCAGACAGCTCTTTGGAAAGGAGGCAGCTACAAGTGGGCTCCATCCACCAGAAGAATTCGTCCCCTCAGGAGTCTTGTTGCCTGCTTCTGCAAAACACTTACAAAAGATGGTAGGAATAGATTGCCTGAGTTGTTCTGGTGGTACCCATCTGCTTCCAGATGTTTTTACCTTCAGATGCAGCAGAGAGCATGGATTTACCATATGGAAATGTGCACTTGCAAGCTGCGCATGAAATACATGATAAATGCAGCATTCCTGGGAAGCACAAGATCTATAGTACATGCACTGCAGCTCTCTGCCCAGGTGCAGGAAATCCATGCTTTTGGGACCCACCAATTTCAATGCACGTGCACAAGGAAAGGGCTCCCCTGACAACAAGGTTATTATGAAGCACAACAAATGAGAAATTGCACAAAAAACTCTCTAGCTTCTCATCTTTGTTACCAGAATGGAGTGAGGCAGAGAGTATTGGAACTAGATTTTAAGCAAAGTAAAAATTTGCCTAGCTCAGTTACATAGATGAAATCTCAAAATTACTCCAGTAACACCCACATGGACCCCCTTTCACTCCCTGCTGTCAGAAAACAGCTATACATATATATACATACACATATATGTGTACATATATAGACATAGACATACATATATATGCACGTAGATGCACCGCATCTCTGGGTCAGTCAGTGTAACAAGTCCATACAAGTACATGTTACAAAAATGAGACTCAAGCATTTTT